TTTTTGTTAAACACCATTTTCGCCCTTACCAACGGCGAGGTGGACATTGTGTTGCGGGTGCTGGAGATGGCAGAGAACTAATCATTGTGCGCAGCTTTTGTCATGTAACCTACGTGTGCCAGGGAGCCGTAAAGACGTAAAAACAGCCGTAATAATAGGTCGTTTTATAAATAATAAAAACGTAAACGCAAACGTAACAACCAAGCCTGTTGCCTGCTATTGCGCAGTGGTGTTTATCAACATGCACGTTACATAATGCACACCATGGAAATCGTGTGCGTCATGGACAGATGTGACGTGCCATGATTGGCGAGTAGCGATTGCGCAACAGAATTCCATGACTCCTGCAGCCTCAAATGATAATAGAATTGAGGACACGGGGAATCAATGCAATGTGGATTTTCTGATCAAGAAGAAATGCACCTTTCTCGTGGCGCTCGCATCGGCACCCTTGTCCAAGAGCATTTGGACAACGGCGCTGTGCCCTTCGAAGGCCGCTTTTATCAGTGCCGTCTCGCCTGCCTACAGGGAACACAACAGACGCATTCTCATTTCTCAAAACCAGCCACCGCATCCATGTCGTCACGCTGGGGAATGCCATGGTTAAGAGTGGGCATCAAGTTCACCACCGACCACAGGAATCACCATGCAGTAGGGGTGTTCAACACTGCTGAGCACAAACAAAACGAGCAGGCAATACCAGTGCATGGCCCACAGAAAGTTCCGGCACAAAAAGAGTCAAATGAGCATATTGTTCAACATAGCGACACCAACGTCACTGTCCACAAACAGTGTAAACAACAAATCTTGGGCAACGGATCATTATTTTTACTGCCAAAGCACTGTGAACTACTGGCACATTTGGCTATAAGAGTGCTTCAAAGTTTGCTTCCCTTGGAGAAAACGTACATGGACACTTTCGATCAGTGGGCAGTCAGGCATGCGACTCCAGGAATCGAAACAAGGTAGATGGCCATTTACTCTTTTGTTAATGTAGGAGCCATTGGCCCGACTGCCCAAATGTTGCCCAGCTGCTGGGTTAATTACTGGAGAAATTTTCAGAAGTCGGGAATGAAATGCGGGGGTTAAACATGCAAACACGTCGCAGTTACAGAGCGATCCTCAACATCCATTCTGCAATTAGATCTACACAGTTCATCGGCACCACCCTGCAAGAAAACAACAGTGTCCTACGCGGCACGTTTGCGCCATCCTCCAGTGCTATTCCGGGCGAACAAAGTACTGGTAAAATGGGTTCTTTGCTTACATCATACTTCAATGTAAAATACTGCTACTGTTCTTTACCAGTAGTCTGTAAAGCTCATTACAGCATACGGATGCTCCATTGACAATCACACAAAGTGGATTCAATGGCGTTCGCATAAGATACAACACACAGGGCCACGAGTGATCTTGATGCTGGTTGCGGGGAAAGTTTGGTTAGGTGGCCTTGGGGGTGGGGGTGGGGTGGACACACAGGCACCCGCTTTCTGGCCCCTGTCTTGCATCAGACGACGGACTGGGGGGGCCAGACCTGCCCTGGGCCCTGGGCTGAAGGGTAGCCGATGGGCGGTGAGTGTGACGGCAATGGCTGTTCAACGGTTGGTGAACGGCTGGTCAACAGCGCATAGGGGGTGGTCAACTAACAGTCAATGCGCAGTCCGCTTGGGCACAGGCCGACGTGCCTTTGGGATCCGTGCAAAGCCTCCTGTTGTGATTGGCGGAGGTAGCGTTGCCGCACACCAACAGCCCCCTCGCTGCATGCCAATGGGACAAAGGGCTCACAGCGTGGTGTTTTTTTTTTGCAGGTCACAACAGTGGCATTCCATGACCATCCAAAAGTGTTTATGACCAGTTCTGCCCCACCTCAGTCTTGGCGCTCAGCAAGGCAGCATCTCTGACTACTTCTGTTGATCCTCTTTCAGATCCGTAATGAGGGACTGTCTGTCCATCCTGCCACGGGTGCAACAGAATTTTCAGAATTGCGATATTGTGCTGTATGTGCTCAATGTTGTCGATTGTCATCTCCACCAGCTGCTTTCAATCGATGGCTTGAAGGTGGGGAGGCGTCATCCCACATCTACGCTGCTTTCTGCTGGATGATGGTTAAATTTGATGTCACACAACAGATGTGGTGTATTGCCCCAAATCATGTTCCTACTCGTACTGTAAATTCAGGGTAATTAGGAAACAGATGTGTCGCCAGTGGGATCCGATGGAAGTTCCTAACCTCGCACAGCACCAAGAGCAGGAGACGCCGATCGCCCGTGTCAAAAATTCATGGAAGTCCATGGGCCCGTGGCCAGCAACACGGCGTGTGGCGTGGGCTCCAAGGTGCTAGCTTGAGCATCAGTGTGGCAAGGGGCTGTTGATGTGCTGCATTGCCGCAGAGGTTTGCACTGCACTGTTTGTGGGCCTGCCTTATTTGATGGGCAAGTATCATAAGTACTGCCAGCTTGATATAACAAACAATACACTGTACCAACACAGTTGATCTTTAAGCTTGTCACAAGGAAAGATGGGTTGGGTGGCCTTGAGCAGCGATGCAAAGGCGGCCCCTTTCTGCCCAGTGTGGTACCGCTGGCGACAGATTGGGGCGGACAGCTTTGGGAGCTGGGGTCAGTACATTGAAGGGCCAAAGGGTGCCTGGCAGGCGGTCAACAGGCGGTGAGCGTGAGGTTAATGGGCGGTCAACACGCATTTCGCAGATCACAGGCCGACGTGCCATGTGGGGATCGATGCAAAGGTGCCCATTGTAATTGGCGGAACTGTTTGCGCTGCTCACAAAGGCCCCCTGTCACTGCATTCAAACGGACCCGGATCGAAGGGCCCACAACGCATGGCTTTCGCAAGCCACAATAGTGATATTGCCTGATAGTCCAAATGGGCTTGTGGCCGGTCCTGTCCCACCTTGGTTTTGGCACTCAGACACGAGACATCGCAGTGCTGCAGCAAGCAACTAACCACATCTGTCGATCCTCCCACGGCTGCAGCATGCAGGACTGTGAATCCGTCCTGCCATACAGGATTCAAAATTGTCAGAACATGCGACCGTGTATGCAACATTCTCCAATAATTTTAATTGAGCAACTGCCCCAATCATCAACAAACCTAAAGGCGGAAAGACGTTCCACATCTGCAAGTTTCCCTGCTTGGCAAGAATGGCTTTTGACGCCATGTACTAGATACAACTTCTCCCATTGATTCTTTTGCAACGAAAAGTTATTTGGCTTCCCATGGCGCCTCAGTTCTGTGGCCAATTGGTTTTCCAGCTTCCTTTTGCAGCTGTGCCGTACTCAACTGCACCAAAGGGCCATACTTGTTCAGTAGCTTACTGATCACCAGGGGAACCACTGCCTAGCAGTTGACACGCAATCAACGCTTTAGAATATCAAATTCACCACCATTGCCTGTTCATGCACAGTGGTGTCTATCAACATACATGTCACATAATGTTCACCATGTAAATGATGTGTGTCATGACCAGATGTGACGTGCCATGATTGGCAAGTGGCGATAGCGCAACACAATTCCATCGACCCGGCTACCTCAAATTGAAGGCAGAAACGAGAACACGGGGAATCAATGCACCAATGTAGATTTTCTGATCAAGAAGAAACGCACATTTTCCACGACGCTCGCATCAGCGCCCTTGTCCAAGAGCATTTTGAAAACAGCGCTGTGCCCATTGAAAGCCGCTAGCATCAGTGCTGTGTGTCCTGCCTGCAGGCAACACACCAGATGCATTCTCATTTCTCAAAGCCTCACTCGTGGGAAGCAATGCGCAGCCAACCACAGCATCCATCTCGTCAAACTGGAGAATGCCATGGCTAAGTGTGAGCATCAGGATGACCACCGAACACAGGAATCACAATGCGTGCAGCAGGGGTGTTCAATACTGCTGAGCACAACCAAAACGAGCAGCCAGTACCAGCGCATGGCCCACAAAAAGTCCCAGGCACAAAAAGAGTCCAATGGGCATACTGCACAATACAGCCACACCAACGCCACTGTCCACAAATAGTGCAAACAGCAAGTTTTGGGCAAATGGACCACTGTTTTTGACGTCAAAGCACTCTGGACTACTGGCACATTTGCCTAAAAGGGTGTTTCAAAGTTTGGTTCCCTTGAAAAAACGTCCACGGACACGTTTGACCTGTGGACAGCCAGGCATGTGGCTCCAGGAATCGAAACAGGGTACATGGCCATCTCTTCTACTCTTCTGTGAATGTAGGTAGGAGCCATTGGCCCGACTGCCCAAAGATCGCCCAGCTGCAGGTTTATTTACTGGAGAAAGCTTCAGAGTATGGGAATGAAATGCAAGCGTCAAACATGCAAGCAAGTCGCAGTAATAGAGCGATCCTCGACATCCATTCTGCAATTAGATCTACACAACACAATTGCTTTTAAATAGAAAATGCAGTAATTCGAAGAATCGAAATTCAAGGGTGGGCATCCCAACGGCCTGGTTACCCCATGGGAGCACATTGCGCGTGGAATGGCCTACTTAAATCTTGGCACTTTCCATTGTAAGCAACCCACAAGCAAGCAACTGTGTCACACATGGCATGTTTGCAACAACCACATCCTCAAGCGCTATTCAGGCAGAATAAGTACTGGGAAAATGGGTTCCTTACTTGTACCATACTTCAACGTAAAATACTGCTACAGTACCTTACCAGCAGTCTACAAAGCCCATTACAGCGTATGGATGCTCCATTGGCACTCACACAAAGTGGATTCAACAGAGTTCACATAGGATACAACACACTGGACCACAAGCGATCTTTGTGCTGGTTGCGGGGAAAGTTTGGTTGGGCAGCCTTTGAGGAAGACGCACACGCGCCCCCTTTCTGGCTCCTGTCTTGCGTCAGGTGACGGATTGGAGGGGCCAGCCCTGCCCTGGGCCCTGGGCTGAAGGGCGGTCGACAGGCAGTGAGCGTTGAGTCAACGGATGTTGAACGGCGTACATACAATATACAATACGGTGGACTACAAACGATCTTTCTGCTCGCTGGGGCAAACTTGGTCGGATGACCTTGGGGGGAGGAGTTGCACAGGTGCCCCCTTTCTGCCCCTTGTCTTGCATCTGGCAACAGACTGCAGTGGCCAGTGCTGCCCTGGGCCCTGGGCTGAGGGGCAGTCGACGTGTGGTGAGCGTGAAGTCAACGGCTGGTCAACGGTTGGTGAACGGCTGGTCAATGGCGCACAGGGGGCAGTCATCTAACTGTCAACACGCAGTCTGCTGGGTCACAGGCGGACGTGCCTTGAGGATCCATGAAAAGCCGCCTGTTGTGATTGGTGGAAGTACTGTTGCTGCACGGCAACGGCCCCCCTCACTGCATTCCAATGCGCCAAAGGGCTCACAGTGCAGGGTTTTTTGTGAGCCACAGCAGTGGCATTCCCTGACAGTCCAAAAGTGTTCGTGACCAGTTCTGCCCCACCTCAGTCTTGGCACTCAGCAAGGCAGCATCGCAGCGTTCCAACAGGCAGCTGACTACTTCTGCAGATCCGCCTCCAGCTGCGCAATGAAGGACTGTCCATCCAACCTGCCATGGGGGAAACAGAATTTTCAGAATTGCAATATTGTGCTGTACGTGCTTCAAGTATTTGATGGTCACTTCCAAATTAATCGATGGGTTGAAGCAGGGAAGGCATCGTCCCTCATCTGTGCGGCTTTCTGCTTGATGATGATAATGATGATGAAGAGTTGGCACCACACAACAGATATGGTGTATCGCTCAAATCACATTGCTATTATTACTGCAAATCCACGACTGTTAGGAAGCAGATATGTCGCCGGTGGGATCCCATGAAAGCTATTCTCTCAGTGTAATTGGCACTGCCAATTAATTCCATGCCCTCACAGCAAAATCGTCGAATGCGAAATTCTGCGGCCAACATGGCGTCCTGATTCTGTGCCCGTCAATGCTCATGCTGTTGGAGCATCAGTGACATCAGCTTAATGGTTCAGATGGCAATAGCACCGAGAGATATCCAAAAAACATTGCAACCCTAGATCCCAAAACGGACACTATCAGAAGGTCAATCGTGCTAGCCACAGGATACAGACTATGTGAGTTGTGTACTTTGAGTAAATGCAAATTACATAAATTAAAAGCTGCCATACACAAGATTCCTCAAGCAGGCGTGACTTTCTGCACAGCAAGTCACATGGATATCAGGTGGTGAACATGCAACCGCATTGAACGGCAACTGTAGGACCTCAGAAGCAACTGGACACCGTGTATCGATGCAGCAGTACGATTTTTTCGACCACGTTGAATCGCACCTTATCTCTGTCGCTCGTGTTAGCACCCTTGTCAAGGAGCATTTTGACGATGGCATCGTGCCCACCAAGAGCCGCATGCATCAGTCCTGTCATGCCATTCTGCAGGCAACACCACAGATGCATTCTCATCTTTCAATGTGGCAATCGTGGGACATGGTGCATTGCCAGCTACTGCATCAAGGTTGTCATGCTGAAGAATGCCGCAGTCGGAAGTGGGCATCAAGGGTAACCACCAAACACTGAAATCGCATTGATGTTCACATCAGATATGGTGTGTCGCCCCAAATCGCATCCTGCTAACAACGCACATCGAGAATTCTTACAACAGACACATCGCCACTTGGATACGATGCAATGTATTATCTCATGAGACAATAGATGATATTTATTGATACAACCAAATAATTGCTCGCCCTTGTAGTGGATTCGTCAGAATGCGCAATTCCATGCTCGAACATGGCAACCTGTTTCTGTGCCAGATTGAAATCGCACACGACTCCAGCACTGACTGTCATGCCCTCCTTCTCCAGCTGTCCATGACTAGGTGCGTAGAAAGGCAACACAGAAAACTTCTATTTGCTAATTTCAAATGCTGGCTGGCATTGATTAGGTGCGCCCGGACATGCTCCAATGTGAGAGTGCTTCACCATATCCTCTTGCCATAGCTGGCAAAGATAGTTGCAATAGTTGTGCTTTGCTTGTGCCAGTTCCCATCGACCATTTTGTGAACGATGGAGCTGCCAGCCTGACTTCCCACAGCTCACCCGACTAGAGGTCAGTGTTGCAGGCCGTTACATAAGGGCACCCATGGTGCAGAACCGATTTTGTATGTTGTTGTTGATGTTTATGGCATCAGAACAGTTTATGAACGGTGCACTTAGTAATAGGGCTGCATTGAGGAGCTTCCCCTGGGGGCAGTTTGTGGCAACCTCACGTGTACAGCTGAGATGCTCGCTGATGGGCTGGCAGCCAGCCCACACCTAGCAATGTCCACCCATGACGCACATGCAAGCACACAACTTGGCAAACGCATCGCGCGTTAGCCCTCCTGACCAAGCCTTGGTGTGCCCAACAGGTGAGGTGCATGGAAGCACGAGGGATGTGTGGAGAAGATGTGGCGAAAAGGGGAAAGGCGTGTAGGAGGACAAGGGGAGGCACTAAGAGATGCCAAAAGTCAAAGTGGACAAAGTGGGGTTCAGTTGCCAGTGGAATCGGCGACTGAGCTCCGAATTTGACTGGAGGGTGCGGGAGGGAGGGGCAAGGGAGACTCAGGAGGCGTGGAGAGGAGTGGGGAGGCGAATAATCATTCCCAAAGCTAGTCGAATCTGTGACTCAATGGCCCTAATGTGGCAGGTCGCTACTTTGAGCAACCCGGATCACAGGAAGTGGCATGCCACAAGGGCGTGGGGGCAGTGATGAGCGAGGCAACAAACACTCCGAGCTTGGCTATTAGGGACAAAGCCTGCCGATTTTGGAGATTAGCAGGCCTGGATCCTATTTAAACAGTGAGAGAAGGGCAAGGAGGCCATAGGGAAGCGATAAAGGAAGTGCACAATGTCGTTGGCTCGTCAATTTGAAGGATCAATTCGTCGATGCACAAGATCGTCTTGCCGAGGGCCCATTTCAGTGTGGGGAGACATAGGGGTGTGTGAGGGGGAGGTGCAGGAAAGGCAAAAAAGACCGCCTACAGCAGACAATTTGGGCTCAATCGATGGTTGAATTGGCGATTGAGCCTCAGCTTGGATGGGGGTAGGGAGGTGCAAGGACTACACAAGAGAAGGATGGGGAGGTTTGGAGGGTATGCTGGCGGCAGCTGAGATGCAAATGAGTGGAAAGCAACCTCCACTAGCCCGCCAAACTAGGGCTCAATGCAATGATAGAGGCCCATGTACCACGCAGGGAAAGGGGGGAATGCGCTGGAGGCAAACAGGCACAGGAAGGAGCATGGAGCTTCTTCGAAAAGGGGTACAAAAAAGTTCTTTTTCTTACTGGCTTTGCTTCTTCACAAGTACTGATTGTGGCCACCTAGGCATGCCAGTGAATGCCCAAGGGTGGCCACGATCGGCACCTACAGGCGAAAGCCACAATGGACCCCCCCCTGTGACTTTGTCTCCCTTGGCACACATGAATCAAGACCCAATTCGCCGCACTCCCTGGCAAATAGCGACCACCCTTTTCCCAAACACAGAGGCCGATGGCTCCCAGACGATGGGGAGTGGCAAAGAACGGCAAAAGCCCAGCCCATGCATGCCGAACGGCCCAAGCCAGAAATGATGCCATGAGAAATGACCAGTTTTGCCGCTGGCATATATTAATGGGGCCTGGTAAGGAAAATTTCCCAAATATGTCCCTAATGGTGCCTAATGGCGTTTCCAACCCAATGCTGACCTCTACACCAGTCTATGCAGAACACTTCAAAATGTGGAAGTGAAATGCAAGCATTCAACCTTCCAAATGCGTGTTAAGTACATGGCAGTTTTCTGATGCCCAGCTAGTCTGCATGCGAACTCTCAGCGTTGCATCCGAAAATTATCAAAAATGCAAAATGGCACCCCGAATGGCACGTTTTCGCCAACGACATTTAGCAGACATATTGATTGGAACAAAATAGTACTTTCAAAATATTAGGCAAATAAGCCATCGCTTGCATAGTACTGGTATGGTGCTTTACCGTTTGCATACTGCAACAAATGGAGGCCCGTTGGCAATCACAAGGTCATTTCAACTGCATTTAGGTATTGTCTTGTGACACGACACACTGTCCTTTGAAACGTCGTCCTATCCAATGTTATGCATGGCAATTCCTTTGATGGTACTCAGGCGTGCAGGACACATATGTGCACATGCACATGCAGGCTGAGTTAGCCACACTGCAGACACCATTGTTTCTGGATCGCTGGTGGCAACTTGCGATGCCAAAAATGGAAAGCAACGGCTCACGGCTCGTTCTTGAGGAGAGTGACTCTGGAGCCTCTACTTCAACATTTGCAGGTGTGCTTGTTGAGTCCACGTTCAAGTGCATGCAAAGAAACGCGCTGCAACGCTTCACCAAGGGTACCTCGAAGCATGCGCCTTGAGCTGCGATTCTCTTGCTTAATGGGCTGCGATTTTTCGGGTGTATACGTACATATTTCAGGAGCAAACCAACACAGCAAGTACACCTATGTACTCAGCCTTGAATAGCATTAGCCCAAAGGGACTGGTCCATATGTACACAAATATAGGATGTGCTGTCTTTTAGGGGAGACACACTATCTGATACATGCAGCGACATTCCATAAATCGAATTGCAAATGTGTATGCTACTGAAATGTACTCTGTCCGATTGCAACCTCACAGTTTATGATTGGGCTCCCCCCATCTTGCAAAGAACCGATGTGCCTTTCGAAATGCGCATTGATGCCTTCAACATTACATTAATGTTCTGTTTCACTATCAGTAGAGTTACACGTCGACAATCACATCCTCATATGACAGTCATTGACTGATATATACGGCACAGTCCTCATTGCACCCGGCACCTAACATGATGGAGACTTTCCTGCTCCACCCGGCCATCAAAGTCCATGGAATATGGCAGTAAAACGTTCCTCTGACTCAGATTCCTTGCAGATGTGCTTTCCCATTTCTGGTTCCAATGGCAAGGAGGGCCTTTGCCGGTGCTGTGCATGTCACCTCAAATTTTATCCAACTTGTACTGTCTGAGTCTGTCAAGGTTTCATGGCAACACACGCAATGCACCACCCGTGACTTGCTATGCGGCTGTTACTGACACTGGGGGGAGGGGGGATTGGGGGGGCACGGCATGGGGTAGTCGGTTGGGGACCAGGAGCCCACGGAAGGGTGAATAAGCAACATACAGAATGGAGGCATCGGCAACCTTGCACTTGGCAAGTTTTGCTGTCTACACGGGGAGGAACACAGGCAGTGGAAAAGGGTGAAAGGGTGCCAGCAGTCAAGGGTAGTGGCAATTCCAATTGTCAAGCTGTGAAGGCAGGAGTGGAAGGATGGGGAGTTTGAAATTTCTACATCTTTTGACAGCCATCGACCACCACAGGACATTATTTCGACACAATTGTTACGTGTGATGGGCGATCTCCAAGGCACACCAAAACTGGTGAGTTTTATTGCCATCTGGAGCAGCTGGACCAGACAGTCGGATGCAAAGAAGCGCAGATAAAGTACCGATGTGAGCAGCTGAGGGGAATGGGATCAGAGAAGCAGCAGCCAACTCAAGCGATCGTACTTGCGTACCCCACCTCATCTGATGCATTCCCATCAACTCCACTGTCGAGCAAAAACTCCACGACAGAGGCTTGCCCAGTGGCAGCTGCCCGCCCCAGAGGTGTCCTTCCACTCTGCAAAAGACACTTGATCTGTAAGTTAAGCGCTAAACAACTCGCCCTTTGGAACAGCCACATCCCTGAAACAAGCATACCATAAAGATACACCCATTGATGCACTTTTACACCACATGTTCACACAGTATTCTGTGCTGGTCTTGAATGTTGCAGGCAAGTAACACAAAAATGGAACATCATAGACGTGCTGAAAAAAAGACACTCAGGACTGTGAAGTCAAAGTAATGTGCATTTGACTGGGGTTCTGTGGTGAAGGCAAGGCAAACAAACTCGGGGACTCAACTACTGATGTGCATTGAATCGAATTGACATAATGGCTCAACTTTTGAAAACAACAGAAGGCCCACCTTATCCACCATAGTGGCTTCTGCACCATGTTCAATCAACAACTGCACCATTTCTTTGTGGCCCCTGGCAGCTGCGCGGGTCAGCGGCGACCATCCAAGCTGCAGTCAACACCCACACAGCAATTTTCGTACATAGCAGCCTGCCCGCAGGAAATCCAGCAATGTCCAGCCAACTCCTCAGAAATAGTGTTAATGTGTCCCCACCATGGTTCATATGTACGAATGATCACACAAATGCAGTGCTTTTGCAATCTGGATTCATATTCCTAAAAGTAGCATGCACAAATGCCTGCTGATGCCAAACATGAGATTGTCAACAAGCAAAGAATGACTCTCTTGGAGGGAATCTTGCACTGCCATTGGCAGCCAACAAGGAGAGCTTGCCACCAACATTTGGGAATGGGGGTTTTCAATGCTTCAATGAAAAGCAGACGCACCTCATCTGACACATCACCACTGAAACCTTTGTCAAGCAGCAACGTCACTACAGATCTCTGCCCATTGTCAACTGCACGGGTCAGTGGCGTCCAGCCATCCTGCACACGACACATCCTTTGTGAGTCCTGCACCCATATCTTGTGAGCCAAACAGCTCACCCAAGTCAGTGTCAGATGTACAACTATACCACTCATCCAAAACTTAACAGCCTGGTGACACCTCCCATAGAAACAAATGTGTTGAGATGACCTCCACTCCCTGAGACACGGGGCTGCCGGCCATTTGGAGTCGTAAAACAGCAGAGCAGTTTTCATGCACAGTGGCTGAAATCTGGGCCAAATGGAATCTAGTTCCTTGCTGGGATTTGTCACAAGGGGGAGGGAGGGGAGGGGCCATCCGCGGCGTCGGCAGGACTCTCAGTTCCCCCACCAACGCCACAGGCCATGGGATGGCGGCGCCACCACCCCCCGGCGATGGGCAATTCTGGCGATGTCGACCGAGATTGGGACTATAGAGCAAACATGGTTCTTCTCAGCTCTGCGAGGAGGTCGCAGGACCACGAGCTCGGTGGCCTCAAGGAGCCATTGGACGAGGTCAGGAATCCTTGTGGGGCAAACCACTAAAGCGCGATCAACAAGCGAGTTTTGCGCACGTTGTGAGAAGATAGGCTGAGTGGCCTTGGTTTGGGGCCGTGCAAGGGGCTTCCCTTCTGCCTCTGTTGGAGCGTAGGCGATGGATTGGAGCGGCCAGGCCCCCTGGATCACAGTTGAAGTGCCGAAGTGTGGTCAATGTGAGACCAACACGAGGTCAACGGTTCGTCAACGGGCACTGAATGGGAGGTTAACACGAAGGCAACAGGCAGTCAACGGGCGGTGACCACAGCCGGAACACAGAAACTGCAAGAAGAACTCACAGGCTCTGAACACACAGGCGGCAGAAAGAAGGCTGATGTGCAACCATTGTGATCTGGCACCAATGGGGGGATCAACCGATGGTCAACAGACGTTGAACGTGCAGCGTGCTCATTGTCCACGGGGACGCAGCCCCATTTGCCTTGGCGAGTGTTGCAATGGAGCCTGCTGTGATCGACGACACCGCCGTTGCTACACACCAAGGTTGTCTACTGCTGCGTCCCACAAGGTCACGGGTCCTGCAATGTAGGCCTTTCACAAGCCACGGTAGCGGCGTTACCAACCGCCCCAGCTTGCCTCACATGCGAAGGCCAGGTGCAAGTAGCAGTCGAGCTGGGCCGACTAAGCACTTATCGCGACATCACGCGCAGGGTCGGACCGTGGTGGGCCAGAGTCATAGCAGACCCCTTGCCACCAACCCCACAGTGTTGCCCACTGAGGAACGTCTGTCAACGATGGACAAGTTGCCATCTTCGCAGCAACATGGGGCACAGGTCACTCGATTGTGGTGGACAACCCGTTTTTTCAAGAAGCTAGATTAGCACTTTTGCAGTGCAATCCCTGTGCTGTTGGCTTCATAGTAGTGGCAGCCTCCGGCCCACGGCGGAAACAGACCCATACCAAGGTCACTGACAATCAGGCTTAGGATCTGGCATCGTTAAACGCAGCAAACAAGTACAGAGCTTCCTTAAGCACTGCTGCATGGCTCAAGGAGAAGACAAAAACACACCTTATCTGGTGCATTCCCATCAGCACCCTTCTCAAGCAACGACTCCACAATAGAGGTCTGCCCTTTGTAGGCAGCACGAGTCAGTGGAGTCCATGCATCCTGCACAAACCACATAAGTGTTTCACTGATTTTGCATCAAATGCGGGCACCAGTGAATTTTACATTAAAACACATCTTGACACAAGAGATATCTTGCGACACCTGCAACTGCCAACAAACACCATTACAGACCATTCACTGGAAGCTTGACGCTACAATTTCCTTGCCACAGAATTGCATGGATGTTGAGACATTTATTATCAGCTGGGCTAGTTGCCTCCACACTGTGCAGTTCAAGGGAACAAAGCAACTGTGTGCATGCAAAATGAGTTGCAAACACATACCTTCATTTTGATGTACGAGTACTGTACTCCCTGCGGTCGGAGTTTCAGCATGGACGTTCCTTGCAGCCATCTGTGAAAACTCGGAGTGAACTTGCCCTTCACCAAGTAGTAGACCCCATCCTCCAGGTCCAAGCGTGTCTTGCGCTGCTTAGCAACCTCTTCGAGTTCGATCTTTGATTCTAGCTCAAAGATGTCAACCAGAGGCAAGCCCAACGACTGCAGGCTAGGCATTCCTGAGCTGGGAAAGCTCTCAAGCCCAAAGCAACCATACAAATGCAATATTCGCAACTGTTGAAGATCCGTTGCATCAGGTATTTCCTTCACATTTTCACATCCCTGCAAATCTAAAACCTCCAAACTGACTGGCCACTTCTTTGGCATTTCTGTCAGCATGGTGCATCCCACTGCAAGGATCACTCTGAGCTTAAGAAGAGACCCCAATCGCAGTGGAAGGGATGCCAGCTGCCCACAGCCATTCACATTCAAGCATTCCAGCTCGCTGGCAGATTCCAGTGTAATAGGCAGCTCTTTCAAGTCAGAGCAGAAGCTGAGGTCAAGCTTCTTCAAACTGTGCAGGTTCCCTACTGAATCTGGCAGGTGCTGGAGTGCACAACCACCAACATGCAAGCCATGCAGGTTCCCCAACTCTCCAATTTCGCTTGGCAGAGCTGTCAGCATCTTGCACAGACGCAGTGACAATACAACCAAGTGCTTCAGATGGCCGATTTCTTGGGGCAGTGTTTCAATCATGTTGCCGTCCAATCTCAGTAGTTGCAGTCCTTGGAGGCGCGAGAGCCCCCGTGGCAGCGATTGCAGGTTGGCGAAAGATGCATCAAGAACCCTGAGCTCAGAGAGCAGGATTGCCTCAGGAAGAGCTTGCAACCTTGAGGCCCTTGAAACAGATGACCGGAGCTTTGGCAGGTGAACATCTCCTGGCAATAGGCCGGTTGCTGAGGTAGAACAGGTCGACAGCTCCACCACCATTGCAGTGGTAGCCTGCAGGCTCTTTGAGGTCCAAGAAAACAATCGCTGCCGATTTGTGATGTCTCCCTCGCTTGTCACCATCAGGGCCATCTCTCGAATCAGGTCATGTAGATGGCAGGATGCTGTCCGCACTTCGGTCTCCTGAAATCCCATCATGGACAACATCAACGCCTCGTCTGTCTCTCCTTGAAGACCAACAATGCCAGAGGGGTCATGAATGACCAGTGAACGGTGCACCAGATGCATGTATAATTTGTAGCCGAGCGTCAAGTTCTCATCAATGTCTGCTTCCTCATCAGAATCCACTTCCTCCCTGTCCATATCATATTTTCGCAGCACCCATTGCTCCACCAAGTCAGAGACACTGACATGGTAGCCCTCGGGATTTCCTGCCAGGCACAGAAATAGATCCTGCTCATCATCCTCAAGGCAGTCAAAGCTCATCCTCAGCAGGGCTAAAACCTTCTTGTTGTACTCAGTGCACATCCCAATGGACTTCCTGAGCTTGGTCAAACCTTCTTGCCATTCTTCCAACACCAAGTAGCCAGCCGCCAATGAACCCACCACATTGAGTGCCAGAGGCAGCCCTCCGCATTCGGCAACCATTCCCTGCACACAATGCCTGTACACCTCCTTGTCATCTGGGATTGAAGGGCGCTGGAATGCGCAACGGCAGAAGAGCTCCAATGCCTGCCCTTCCTTCATCTCTTTCACCTTGTATTCTCTTGCATGGACCCGCCTTGCAATCGTTGAATCTCTTGTTGTAAACAACACCTTGCCCTGGTCGCCGACAACCAAGAGTGTCTTGATGTCATCACACTTCCACACATTGTCAAAGACAATCAGAGCCTTCTTGCTCTCCAGTTCCTTCAATAGAGCATTGCGCATGCTCTTGATGCTCTTGTGCGGTGGGTCTGACTTCATGACCTCTTTCCACAGTTGCTGTAGGCGCGCCAGGATGTCCGATTCCTCAAGACGTTGCCCCACATTGATCCACACAATGTGATCAAAGTCATCTGCCACTGCCGCGCACAAGGCGGCAGCGAGGGTAGTTTTACCTGATGGCACAAGCACATTCACCCAAATATCTGTCCGCTCCACATTAATTTCACAGAAGAAATTAACGTGACGCTCAGAAAACAAAATTGTATAAGGAGTTTACAACTGCTTGCTCATTATTAACGAGCAAGCATGTCCACTGATAACTCTAGCACACCACCATCAGTCACTACCATGGCTTGTATTTCAAATCAAGTACTTGCAAATGCAGAGCACTGAAACACACAAGTGCCACCACATGATTGTGGTGGTACAAATATACTTGGGGACGTTGACGTACCAATATTTGGAATCATGCATTCAACCAACGTTCCACCAACTAACAAGGAATTGTGGCCCACAATGGTGATTCCAAAAAACTGAAAACAGGGGTCCCGCAAACATCTTTTAAACAGTACAGCCTCTGATTCTGATGAATTGTGTAAGCTCACCAACGCCACCCATGCCAACCAGAGCTGTGGGGTTTGAGCCCGGCTCAAACACCATCTTTTTGATGGCATCCACTCTGGGCTTCAGCGCAGTTGCACTTTCAGGAAGGCCTGGCCGTTCACAAAACTCCAATGTTCTGATGTCTGCACTCTCCTTGTGGCTCCTCACTCTTGCCAACACAGCATCGAACTTCTTTTGCACGGCCGTGTTTGCTGCAGTGAGGTCACTGACCTTCTCTAGCACAAGAGAATCCACCACAGCAGCAAAGTCTGCAACGACAAGTAATCAGTCAAACTAGGCACCAAATAGGAAACTGCGAGTGGACAATGCGTGAAGCCACAACCCCAGTTCTTTCCGCCAGAACCATGCCGAACCCCATCAGAAACGCTTTCTAAAGAGTGCACAGTTCCCTGTGTCATCTGCATGTCTGTAGGTGCAGGGGGGCATCAGCATCTGCGCGACATAGCCGTACGGCGTCCAATTCAGCAGCAAAGAGGCAGCAAAGCGCATACCTGAACGCGAAATGCTCAGGGCTTCCCCCACAGCTGAAAACCCATCTTTGTAGTCCTTTGCAAAGGCGTGGCGCCTCAGCCAGCTTGCACTGTTGTACATCTTGAGAAAATCTTTTGCCTTTTCGAGGTCCTCCGACACGCGCAGAACCGACGCTTTCAACCTTTCCAACTCGCGCTCGGGCTTCTTTTTCTGGCTTTCGACCAGCTCCGCCAGCAGCGCGACGCGCTCCCCAATGTCCCTGCAGGCATCTTTGTTGTGCTTCGCGGCGTCCACCGCAGCCTTTATCTCCTTGCCCCAGTTGACGGCGATGTCGATGAGCCCAATGACATCGGCAGCCATGGCTTCCCCTGTGCAGGGCGCAACGAAATGCCATGAAAGCATCTTTCTGCGGTGGCCTACCAAAAGGGATTCCTACCTGAAACTGCCAGGGCAATCGCATCGATGGTTGTCACTTGCTCACCCGCAACATCCAGGCGAGGTCAATTTGTCCGAATGCGGAACAAAAGAGCAAAGCCATGCCGCGCGACCCCAAACTTGGAAACAGTGCTGCCGCGAAGTCTTCCTCGTGGCGTGGACCGGCAGACGGGAACTGCGCGAGAAACAGACGGGCTGCCAACGATCGGCATTGGATGAACATGTCTCCCTTTTTGTGGACAAAAAGCCGATCGACTGACCCGCATCCCCACGGGTAGGCGGCTCCAACTGCCAGGCGCATCCCACTCACTTTCCCGACAGCCAGTTGAACTCCCGAACTTGGTTGGCTATCCCGCAAAACGGGATGCCCTGTGGCGGCTGTCGAGTGCCGTGTGTCGCCCTGACCGGCGGATCGGCCCAGGGCGAATCCAGGACGCAGCCGCGCTCGGCGCCTCAGGTGCCGTCGAACACGGGGCCGCGAGGTACAGGGCAATCGCGCCGATCCCCGCGGAAGCGCAGGCCTGAAGGCTGCTGCGACGCCCTGTCCGAGATACTGACAGTGGCGACAGCGCGGTGGAGCTGCGTTGTCGCTGCCCCGGGGGGGTTGGGAACTGTGGAGGGTGCAGGCCTCCCATGAAGTGAGGGCACCACTGGTGCTTCCCTCTGGCTCCGTGTTATGGGCGCCATGGATCGCTGCACACGAGCGTGGATTTCCCGTTCCCTGCAAGATTCCGGACCACTGAGCGGCATTCTTAACATGATTAACGGAGGTTAATGAGCGCGGACGCGCCAGGACCGCGTCTGATGGGTTAAAGTGCACAGCACGGAGACCGAAGCTATCGCTCCTCGCGTCAAGCGCTGCGGGCCATAACCTAGCGCGACCGTCGCCGCCAGCCTGCTGCGGAAGCAAGCGCAAAGGATGGTAAGCACGGCGGCGGGGAGAGCGAGCCGCGCTAGCAGGAAGCGGGGAGAATTTTGCGACCAACCCTCTCGCATCGCGGCTCGCCCACGGGCAGCCCCGGCGCACCGCGGTCTGCCCGCACGTTGGGTTCGCAACAAATCGCCGGGAGCGCCCCGTCCTCCTGCGGCGTTTGCGCGGCGCTCGGGCCGCGCCCTTCGTTTCCGCGACCGCGGCACGTTGCGCGCTCAGCCGGCGCGCATACCGGTCGGGCGCGGACCACCTCCGCCATTGGCGGCGCCTAGGTTCTCTCCGGCTACGCTCATCGCGCACGGGCCGGCTCAGCCCGCCCACCGGCACGCCGGTCAAGAGCGCCCGCGCACGGCGGAGCCCTGTGACGGTGAACACCCGCCTCGGGTGACAACTCCAGTGTCGTGCCTCAGCGCCCCGCTCATCGCGGGGGCGATCGCGCAGCGCACATGGCGCTCTGACAGCTCACGGCGGTCCCCCTTCTCAGGCGGATCACTTTGACCCCCACATGGAGGAGTTGGACTATGATGAGGCTTCCCCACGGGGGCCGGGCGCGACGCCCGAGCCCCTGGAGGAAGCGGCCGAATGGGAGCACGTCCCTGCAGAGATTGTTGACCAGCCCTCAGCGGGCGAGAGACCAAGCTCATGGGTGGAGCATGCCCAGCCGGAGGGACAGATAGAGCGCACGGGCGCCAACCTGACCGTCCCGCGTAGTGGCAGGTAAGCCTCAACGGCGTGGCAATGCGCGGCAGCCTCATCGACTCCAGCATTTTCGCCAAGCGCCGCCGCCGCTCGGATCTCGATCAATCCGTGCCCGAGCCAGCGCGTGCCTCCGGGCTGCGAGCCCTTCGCTTAGCGCGGACGCCGCTCACCTTCCACCGCTCGCTTGCACTACGGTCGTGGGTTTCCATGGCGGGCGAGCTTCGGCGCCGCACGGCCTCGCGTTAGGGGCGTACTCCAAGGGGGCTCGAGTATTCGACGGTGTCAGGATCCCGCACCCTCTTTTGTCACCTCGTTCGCGGGGTACATGAACGTATCGCGCCGGCTGTGGTCACCCCGCACGGTGACGTCACGCCCGGTCTCCAGTGCCATCTCTCGTCACACAGGTGGCGCCATGGCGGAGGCCAGCTCTCTGCCCCAGAAGGACCCGACGCCGCGACGGCCGAGTTTCCGCTCCGATTCCATGACATCGAGCAGGAGTTCTCAGTGGCCGACACTCTCTTCGAGGTCGCCACCGCGCGCCACCTTGGGCCGCCGCCGCGACCGCTGCATCTGCTCACCATGACTCTCTGCGAGCACATGGGCATGGTCGACATAGTTCAATACGCTTCACACGAGGTGTTGGCCCTTCGCCCCGCCTCTTGCCCGCTGTGGGCGACGCCCATGGAGGCGGCTCATCGCCAATGGTTTGAGGTACATCTCCCCGCCGTCACCTTCGACGCAACGGCTGTACAGAGGGACGCGTCCTGGGTGCCCTCCAATACTAGCTTGGCGCTCATCGCGCCCGAGTGGGTCTTCGCCCATGCTCACTTCGAGTGCGTGGCCGAACATGAATTGCCGCCCTCCCTCAGCGTGGGGCCAGGGATTAGGCCTAAGGATGCGACTCTGCCGCTGATTCGGCCGCAGGCGCAAGACCGCGACGGCTTTCATGTCCCGCTGCTGCGTTTTCCTATCGACACGCTACCCGCACCGGGTAAATGTGTGCATGTCTACACCTTTTGCAGCCCGCGGCGTGCTGACCATAGCGCGGCTCGCGTCGCAGCGCAGCTCCGTGGTCGTTGGGGTGAGCGCACGGCGGCAGCCGCGCCGTCTGTGGCGCAGCAGAACGCCTGGTGGCGCCAGCCGCCCCAGGGTCGGGCAGAGCAGCTGCCGAAGCGGTCTCGGTCAACCCAGCCGCAGGCGTCACCGCGCAGCATGCACGCGGCCGCTACTTGGGAAGCAGCTGTGTCCGCGGAAAGGGAGCGAGCTCTGCACGACGGCCCCGACCCGCGCGCTCTTCGCGCGACAGGGTCTGCCATTCCGAAATTGGCTTCTCTGCGGGTGGGGGCGTCGGCAGCGGGTGAAGGCAGTCATCCTGTCGACCCGGAGTTGCACCGCCCCCCGGCGCGCGTCCCTACTCCCCCCACTCCGTTGGGGGCGGGAGGGACCTCCGCGCCTGCCGACATGGAGTGGCTGAAAGAGCCGGAGGACGAGTTCCACACTCGGGCATCCTCCTCGGCCACAGGAGTATTAGCGCCGCGACGGCGCTTTGTGCTCGGCCGAGGATGCCAGCCATTCCGGTCCTGCAGCCGTCACGCACGGTGGCGCTTCTTGGCCTACGACGAGGCGGGGATTCAGGGCTCTTGGAGCGGGCTGTACTCGGCGGCGAGGAACCTCATCGGAATCCACTCCAAGTCCCCGGGAGTCAACCTCCTGTGCGCCGCCGAGACCGTGGACCAGGTTCTGGCCCGCGCAGAGCCTGTCCTGTTCCCCGGCGAGGACGTCCAGCAGGCGCCAGCCGCCTTGTATAACGTTCTTCGCATTATCACTCCTATCCTCAGACTTGTTGTGCGTGTGGCCAGCCCCCACGTGTGCATTTTTGATCATCAGGCCTGCGCGCAGTGGGTGGCCGGACTTGAGATGGAGCTCTTCGCTCTGAACGAGGCCGGCTACATAGATGTTCATCACATCTTGCGGCAGTTGAGGGCCAGGATCACGGCGGTCATCGGCGACAACGCCCGCCACTACGCCGACACGCCGGCCCTACACCGGCAGGCTGACCGTGGCCACGACGCTGGCAGGGTCTTCCCTCGTGGCGGTGGACGCGGAGGCCGAGGCCGAGGCGGGAGTGGCGCGGGGGCCCCCAGCGGGCCCCCTGTCGCGTAGGTGCCAGCGCGCCTGATTGGGTATCGGTCTTTCGTGGTAGCTATGTGAAACGCTCTGATGTTTGTAGCCATCATCCGGACAATCTGATGTTACCACGTTTTGTAATATGTAACAATTTCCTGATCCTCTTCGGTGTCCCTCCGCAACAGACCTTTGGTTCTCGAGGGGCCACAGCCCGTCGTTGGGCCACTCTCGCCTGCCGGCCCTCCGGTCATTCCCTTTACGCCAAGGGCTCGGCGATGGATAGTGGCTTCCTCGCCCCCTTCTCGACGCCGGTCGGCCGTCGCGGATGTGCCCGCGCCGGCTCCTCTCTCTACCCTTCCAGTGCCGGCGCCCCCGGCAGCTCCTGGCCCAACGCCGCTCCCGGTCCACGCTCCGCTCAGGCTTGACGTCCCCTTTTTGGCTCCCGCGGGTTCCGAGGATGAGGAAACCAGCTTTCCTCCCTTTGATCTTCAAATTCCCCCAGCGGACGAGTTGCACAGTCCCTCGTCTGACTCCGCCGCGCAGCTCCCCATCTTGTCGACGGAATTTAGGCTGCCCATGCCCCGGCGGGGCCCTGTTGGCACGGCATCCATGCATAGTTCCTATCTTGCACGGGCTCTTCGCCTCATGCAGGATTTGCAGCGCCGGGACGCGTCGGCTTGCCGCGACGTTCCAGCGACGGTCGCCGAGCTGAAGTCGGTCTTGCTGGACGACTCTCAGTTTGTAGCAGGGAATTGGCACCACTTTGCCGAGCTGTGGGCCCAGTACCTTCGCAGCATCCCTCGTTGGCCTCAACGGCCTAAGGTTATGGCCTGGTTGCGCCACGGTTACGTGATCGACTGGGTCGACCCCGAGTCGCATTGCCAGCAGTTGCATCCGCACTTCAAGGCTAAGCGCCAGGAGGTGCGCGCTATGCTCGCCAAGGTGCTCCCCAAGGACCAGCTCCTCGGTCACCGGACAGGTACGCATCCTAGCTTTGTGGTGTTCCCCAACAGGACGTCCGCCATAACCCATGAGGAGTTCACCGATAGCGCCATCCGCAGCCTCGTCAAAACGGGCATGGTGGTGTTGTTCGACCCCGCTCTCCATGCTTCGGTACAGGTGGTCAACCCACTTGCTGTGGTCACCCACCGCACCAAGATGCGACTGG